CAGACACGACAGCATGATCACACACAGATATCACATTGTGCCTAATAATTTGAAAGGGTGGATTTTTAAAATATGAGAAACAAAAATATCAAGTGTGGCAAAAAATGTAGGGAAATGGCCCCTTGTCCTCAACTGGAGGGAATAGAAAATGGTCCAGCCACTGTGGAAAACAGCCCGGCAGATCCTCAAAAAAATTACACAGAGAACTACCAATTCCAACTCTGGGTACATAGCCAAAAGAATGGAAAGCAAGTACACAAACAGATATGTGTTCACCCTGTTCACAGCAGCATTAGTCACAATGGCCAAGGGGTGAGAGCAGTCAGTGTTCATCAATGGGTGAATGGATAAACGTGGTTCAGACACACATGGACTACGGCTCAGCCTTGAAAAGAAAATGAATTCTGACACCTTCTACACAAGGATGAACCTCGAAGACATTGTGCTGAGCAAAGTAAGCCTGTCACATAAGGACAAATACCACGAGTCCACACATACGGGGGACCCACAGTAGCCAGCCAGGGGCTGGAGGAGGGGCTGGGGAGTTGCTGTTTAATGGAGAAGAGTCTCTGTTTGGGAAAATGGAAACGTTCTGGGGATGGTGGTGATGGTTGCACAACAATGTGAATGTACTTAATACCAACTAAACTACATACTGAAAGATGGTTAAAATGGTAAATGTCATGTGTATTTTATCACAATAAAAAGGGGTGGGGGAAATGACATGCAAAATGTTGTTTAAATCCAAAAAAATGATAAATGGTAAAAAAAATTAGATGGACCTTTTATGGAACTGACAGTGTGCTAGGCCACTGAGAGGAGAGGAATGGGGAATGAGACATGTATTTGGCAATGAAGAAACCATTATGGAATGAGAAAATACTTGCAACTGAACCAAAATAAGATATCAGTGAACTAGCATGCTGCTATGTAATGGTTTGAGAACAGTGTACATATGTGTGCTTATGTGTGTGTTGTATGTGCATAAATTGAGGGGTAGGAGGCCATATCCCAAGCCCTTAAGCATGTCTGTTGGAACCTCAAGTGGCTATTTTGTGGGGAAGGACGACAGGTGTAGTCACTTAGAAAGCAATCAGCCTCCCTCCCTGGCGCCGTCCCAGCAGCCCCTCCACCTGCTCCCAGATCCAGCACACTGGCCTTAACCGCGGCGGGGGACTCGGGGAACACAACTGGAAGGAGCTGTTAAGGAAACAGATGATCTTAGAAGGGAGGACAAACCCCCGTTATAAGAGGGGATCTCCAGGGCCTACCCTGGCGTGGGAGGAGAGCTGATTTCTCCAGGGGCCCCTCTGCCTAGGACACTAAGAGAGCACTAGCTCCCAGTCAGAACCTAGAGGACCAAACCAGAGACCACCTCCTCCCCTGGTCCGGGGGAGGTGAATTATAAATGTTAACAATGACATAACACATATTTTTAAAAAATTAGTGAGATAAATTTCCATATAATAAAATATAAAGTGCTCTCTTTTGTAACTTCCATGTAGATGATTGGTTCTCATAGGCTTTTGCTGATTTTTGCTGAACTGGTGAATCCGTAGCCCAACTACGGTTGCAGGTGAGAAACAAGTGTAGTTCTGACCTTCACTTACTTTAACAAGAGAAAAGAGGGAGCTTCGAGGATGTCACTTGCTCGGCAGTGACACAGGTGACGTCCTTGCTGGACTGAATGATAGTTTTTGAACACTGGAAGGAACGGCCTCCACTTTTTGTGCTGTTCATAATGAACGGCTGCAGATAAAACACACTTTTTGGTTAATGTGCATCATTACCTTTCACCCTATGGCATCTGCCCATTTCCACAGTGCGACTCCTCCCACCTTGGCCAGAAGTGACTGCACCGAGCCTGAGTCAGGAAGAGCTGGGCCGTGGCACAAAGTATTTCCATCCTACGGGTACAAGGCACAGGCAGCCTCAAGGGTATAGGGAACAGTAAATGTAATAAAGGAAATTAAGTGATGAGTTTTCAGTATCTACTACTCTTATTTTATTTTTTTAAATATGTTTTTATTGATTTCAGAGAGGAAGGGAGAGGGAGAAACCTCAATGATGAGAGAGAATCACTGATCGGCTGCCTCCTGCACACCCCTACTGGCGATCAAGCCCACAACCCAGGCATGTGCCCTGACCAGGAATTGAACCGTGACCTCCTGGTTCATAGGTTGACACTCAACCACTGAGCAACACCAGCCAGGCTACTATTCTTGTTTTAACATAATGGCTTGAAAACTTCCTGGAAGTTTAAGTCACCTGCAGCAGGAGACCAGAGTGCAGGCCCCAGTGAGCCCATGTCTAGGGCAGGGTCTGGGGGTTGGCAGGTGGTGGCCAAGTGTGGACATGAAGCGCCCCACAGGCTGGGTTCTGCCAGGCTCATCCTTTTGGGGGCGGGGGCAGGGAGGAAGTGAGGGGACCCCTTAACACAGTCCAACTCACCCGGGGACTACTTGGCTCTTTATAAATTGTGACCTTGTTCATTGGTGAGGAGTCCAAGACTTTTATTTTCATCCCACAAATGGTTGTTTTGGCAGGTGTGGCAGGAGGGGAAATAGCGACATGGGTGTGCAGTTTTACAGGCGACAAGAGGGCTCTGGGGGGAGCCGGGCCTGCTCTCAGCTGGGGCGCTGCAGGCCAAGAGTGCCAAGTCCACATGCTGACTCCAGGTTTTGATTTTGCAATTATCCAAATGAGCTTAATGCTTCAAATCCCTGGTTTAGGAGTTTTTATTTGAAAGTTCTATTTTTAAATGCATCCGTGTTTGTATTGAAACTGCCCCAAAGACGCCTTCCTTCAGAGCCTTAATCCCTGGAAATGGAAAACCCGCCGGAAGAATGCGGGTGCTGCTCTGCTCCCCAGGTCCCAGGTGGAGAGCAGAAGGAGGTCACCTTCGTGGTGGGTCTAGCCACAGGGGACCAATAGGTGTGAGTCCCAGTGACCAACTCAGGCTGCACAATAGCCCAGGACACTTGAGCCTCCATGGGCCCTTCCTCCATAGAAAAGATTAAAATGTTTATAACTGCATTGATAGAAAGGCAAAAATATCACATATTAAAATATTTGCTTTGACTTAAAAGTTCACTTTTGGCCCTGACTGGTTTGGCTCAGTGGATAGAGTGTCGGCCTGCGGACTGAGGGGTCCCAGGTTCGATTCTGGTCAAGGGCATGTACATTGGTTGCGGGCACATCCTCAGTGGGAAGTGTGCAGGAGGCAGCTGATCGATGTTTCTAACTCTCTATCTCTCTCCCTTCCTCTCTGTAAAAAAATCAATAAAATATATTTTTTTTAAAAAAAAAGTTCACTTTTGTTTTCTAAGAATTTACACTTTCATGGGCTCCTAAAGTGCCTTGGGCCCTGACACTTAATAGTTTTTCAATATATATTTTTTATTGATTTCAGAGAGGAAAGGAGAGGGAGAGAGAGATAGAAATATCAATGATGACAGAGAATCACTGATTGGCTGCCTCCTGCACACCCACTACTAGAGATTGAGCCCACAACCCAGGCATGTGCCCTGACCAGGAATCAAACCATGACCTCCTGGTTCATAGGTTGACACTCAACCATTGAACCACACCGGCTGGACTCAGCTAAACTTTAGAACCAAAATTATGAAGTATGACTCCAGTACTTCCTGAAAACTTATAAACCAAAGTAGAGAAAACATTTAATAATCCCAATTGTGTAGTTTATCAAAGTAATAAGCAACACCAGGATTTAACTCATCTATAAGACACAGTTATAATCGGACTTTCTAAAGCTTCATGAATGATCTTAAAATTTGATAAATGCTTGTCTTATAAAACTTCAATTTATACAGAAAAGAAGCAAATGTCACAATATGAATGAAAAGGTACATTTCCCTGAACTTTCTTCAAAGAAAAAAAGGACATTCAAAAATTTAAAAAATCCAAATGCTTGTAAACTTCTCCCAGGTATGAACTGAATTGCACAACCCATATATTTATAGAAAAAATACGATTATTTTTAATGATTTATGTATAAAAGAAAAAATAAATTTTATGGTACAATTTGAAAGACTACTTCATACAAAATTTTACCCACATATAATGTATGTAATTTTTTGCAACAAAAATTCTAGTCATATATACAAATTCATAGAGGGCAGACATCTTATCCTGAAGCAAAACAGGGCCATTTGGGATTGTGACTAAGTCATTCAATTCAGCAGAAAACAGATTGTACGTATATGAAGGACTAGTTAGCTAGAATGCCTCCCCGCCTCCAATAAACTGTTTAGTATAATCAGATCAAACAGAACTTTACGGTGCACTTTAGAAAGGAGAAAAAGACAAGTGTTTCTAAATGGCAGATCTTGGTAATCTGATCTTGAACTTACTCAGCTTAGAAAATCATATAACTACCTTAGTAAAAGATTTATTTTGGAAATCACACTAAGAAAAATCCAAGCTGTGCCATTTGCGTTAGCCCTCAGAGAAACAAAACTTCCTCAGGCAATTCCAACACTTAACCAGCACTCCTTGGTTTACATAATAAATACAGCATCAGGGCCAGTAAGTACATCTCTGAATGGTGAAACCCTTTATATACAAACCCTTTATATACAAACTTGAAGACATGTACGGTATTGTATGTAAATGAAAAACTAAATATAAACCATATTTTAAAAAATTTGGCTTTAAAAAATAATTTCCTCCCCCCATAAAAAGGTCTTATAAAAAAATTGGTAAATTGTGCCTCCTTTTAAGTCTTCCTTTCTCAGATTCCCCTAAACTATCCACCTCTCGGGTGCACAGGTGCACAGACCTGTCCGAAGGGAAGACGTGCTGCAGAGCCACACAAGCGCCCACCTGGGGAAGCGCAGGGCTGACGCCGTGGAAAGTGAGGATGGCCGGGACAAACGCACGTCCAGACAATGTCATGACGGCCACACTGAAATCGCCTTCTTAAATGTATGAACTTTACAGGTTAGAAACACAAGCAAAAGATAACAGGAACCAATAAGAAAGTTACATAAAGAATTATATACAATTATGAAGAGGTTTAGAGTTCACCTGCATCCTTATAAAAATACACCCTTTTAACCCTTTTCAAGTGCAAATGGATTAAAAATATAACCCATTCATGTTCAGGCCACATTCTATTTATAAAGTGCCTCAAAAAGCATAGTCATCCTTCATCCAGTGTCTGACTTGCAGAAGGCCTCACCAAACCTGAAACTGAAATCTATGACCATTGTTCGCCTTGGGATGCCAACAGCACTCCTGCCAGAGAACGTCAGTGCAGAACTCGCCTCCACAGGCTGCTGCGGACAGAACATGCCTGCAAAGAAATTCCCACCGGCGTCTGGAAGAGCTGTTTATAACTAGCGAGCAGCCTAGCCTGAGGAAGGTAGAAAACATGGTCTTTTATACACTGAATGTGCCTACAGTTTTGAAAGCTCTGAAAATTAGCTGGATAACATTATAAATTGTTCTTTTTTTTTTTTTTTTGCAAATTGAGAGTTAAAGAGAAATAATATTCTATCTGCCTTTTTATTTTCAAACTGAGGATGACTTCAAATCTTTGAAATTTTTTAGCTTTCACCTTCTTGAACTCAGATTGATACTGTACACCATTTTCTGAATTTTCTCCTCGTTCTTCAGGATGTTGGCCTTCACGGCACAGATCTTGTCCTGCTGGTCCTTAATCAGCTGCTCCAGCTCCGCCAGCTCCACCTTCAAGGGTTCCACGGCACTGTCCGTGATACTGACGGGAACAAAACCAGCGGCTCATAAGTATCCCGTCTCATTTTAGATTTGCTTCTTAATTAAAACACTGAAAGACTACAAAAGTGCTGATCTCATCCAAAGAAAAAGGGTAAAAATCTAAGTGTACATGATAATGACATGAAGGGACAGAAACCTCATGCCTGGGGAAGATCCACTCATTTTCACATCCCGCCACAACCAAAAGTGAAGTCAAACATGAAATTTATACAAAGGAGGCTAGTATTTCTTCCTTTTTTCCACTGATTTTTTTAGAGCGTGACCGGGAGGGAGGGAAGGAGAGAGAGAAACATTGATGCCTCCCTCACACGCCCCCACCAGGTCGGGATCGAACCTGCAACCTAGGTATATGCCCTTGATGGGGAATCAAACCCAAGACTCTTCAGTGAATGGGCTGACGCTCTAACCACTGAACATGCCGGCCAGGGCAAAAACACAACAGTTGATACAGTTACATGCATCCTAGATTCACTGATTATAAATACCGAATATCAAGCATCGTTCTAAAATAATCTTTTTAATGACTATTACATTTCTTTTATAGTAGCAATTTCAAAATGGGTTCACTAGCAGTTCTTTTAGAGTAAAAAAATAAAATACTTTTGAACTGCAAACAGATAAAACTTGGGGAATTTTGATAAAACACATGAAAAATATGGTATCCAAATTGCAAAGTTTCCTCTATCTTTTAATGCCTAAATCTGCTTTGTGTATGAACATTAACTGATAATCTCTTCTAACTGCTACAAAAAAAAATGCACACCCTGATGGGAATGAGGAACCAAGATGACAGGGGCGCCCAGAGGCCTGCAGGCTTGGGGGAGTCCTGACACTGCCCCACACCCCCTCCACCTGGACCCCGCCCCTGACCTCTGCTCCTTCTGCAGGGCCTCGGCATGCTGCTGGTTCTCCTGATGCCACAGCTGCAGCTCGTTCTGCATGGCGTCCGCGTCCTCCTGGAGGTAGTCCATGATTTTGCCCAGGGGCAGCGCACTCTTGCACAGCGTCTGGATGGACAGGCGGAGCTTCTCTATCTCCTTGGAAACGATGTCCTTCTCCTTCTTCCACGCTGACTCCAAGGCAAGGGACTTCTCCTACCATCAGCGGGAGAAGAGGAAAGAAACATGCTCAGTCTGATGGCAGGAGGGCACGGGAGTGGGTTGCCGGTTCAGTGCCTGGTCAGGGCTCATACCTAGGTTGTGGGTTCCATCCCCCGTGGGGATGTGTAAGGGAGGCAACCCATGGAAGTTTCTCTCCCGCCGCCCCCTTTCCCCCTTCCATCCTCCTTCTCCCCTTCCTCTCTCTAAACTTAGAAAACATATCCTCAGGTGAGGATTTTTTTAAAGTTCCTTGTTTTCATAAACTGAGAATGCCTGTGTTCAAGTTACAGCAGAAGAGCAGACACGGACTATCGAGTGCGCTGTTCACCCAGAAATATTCCAGCATCAAACTCCTTCATAAAGCACGTGTTAACTTTCCCACACTCACAGGAAACATGGATGCAGCGTTAACAAATGATAAAGTGACACGGGCAGGCTGCGTCCCCGAGCCCGAGGCATCCTCCGAGGTGACAGTCCTGGAGGGCACCTTGGCCTGCTGGCTATCTCCCTGCCTGTTCCATCCCACAGGACAAAGGGAATCCTATGTCCACACCCGTGGTTCAAGGGTCAGCCATGTTGCACTTGCACGCATATTTTACTCATTTGCTTTGCTGACTGGCATTTCATTTTAGGACTACCCATGACTTACTCATCCTCCCCAAGGCTGACGGACACGTGGGTCATTCTTGGACGGGGCTCTTACAAACCATGCAGCTCTGAATAATCTCACACACATCCCAGCACACAAGGGCCCGGACATGCCATGTGTAGGGCCACTAGGGGTCAAAGGGCATGCCTGCCTCTAACCTTGGGACACAATGTCAAACAGTTCCCAAAAGGGCTATTGACGTCAAATATGGTTCATGAAGCAGTATCGTATTTGTAAGCTCTGAGAGCTGCCGAGTCAGTGGCAGCTCTGCAGTGACAGGTGCAGGCAGTCAGCACTGAGCCAGGGCCCTGGCCGCAGAGAGAAGCTGCCGCTCAGGTCAGAACATGTGTGACCCCAAGCAAGCAACCTTCTAGGTGCAGAGCCTGCACACGAAGCAACTACAGACAGAAATCACATGAGCAGGAGGCTCCTGGATGCAGGTACGAGAGCTGTACCACCTGTGGTTTCACTGCGCAGACTGGGGCCCGTCGGACCTGGGGTGACGTCTGACCTCTGCAACTTACTGTCTATGTCATCTCGGACAAGATAACGTTTGTGCTTTAGTTTCCTAACTAGAAAATGGGGAAGACACCTGGCTCATAGATCACTGAGGATTAAATAAAGAGACATATGCAAGTCCTCAGTCATAAGAAGCGCTCTGTAACGTCAGCTATTGCTATAATGATTATATTGCCCACAACGAAGAATAACCAATTGGCAGATAAGGGACCTCCCACAGCCGATGCAGACCATTCGATGTTAGCTACTCCTACAGACAGTTCTGTCCTTGCGAAGGACCGAGGGACGGCCTTGGAAGTCTGGGTAAGGTCAGCGTAGGGATGCTGGCCTGAGACCAGGGGTCACTGTGGCTGAAGCAAAGGTTAGTGCACAGGACAGAGAAGACAACGTTCAGACCCGCCTTTCCCACCAACCTGAAAAGTGGAAATAATTTAACACTGACATTAACAAAGCAAGCAGGCAACAGGGAAATGCAGAACTCAATTTCTCAACTAAAAGGTTCCCTTCTCTACCTAAAGAAATGAAAGTAAGTTAAGAATGTGACATTACTGGCCAAACATTTTTATGAAAGGCTATTCTCATATATTTATCTTCCAGATGAACTTAAGAATATTCTTTGCCAAGTTCCAAACCTCCACTGAACATTTATTAGAATTACATTAAATTTATAAGTTAATTTCAGAGAAATGACATCTCTATAACATTGAGTTTCCCATCCAGGAGCACAGTGTCTTGATTTTTTTCCAGACTTTTATATTTCTTGGTAAAATTCCTTGGTTTCTCAATCGAGTTCCTAGAAAAGTCCTTTTAAAAGTTCGCATGCCCCGGGAAGTCAGTTTTGTCTCCAGCTCTGCAGGGGACACTGTTTTCACTGCTGACGGCTGACATATAGGAAAAATACTGACCTCTGTATTTATTTGTCACCGGCCATCTGATACATTTGTTTCTAACAGTTTTAACTTTGGGGGTTGATTTCCTTGACAAACTGTTGTCATCTTCAAATGTGGTGACACCTGTCTCCCTTCCAGAATCACATCTCCTTTCTCTGGCACTGGCTAGAACCTCCAGAACATCTCCGCAGGGTCAGATCCCATCCTTGTACCTGAATCTGGTGGAAGTCGCTGCAGCCACTTGCTGCGGCATCGGATGCTGACCACTTGGCGCAGGCCTTCTTGCTCCCCTGGTTCAAAGTACCTTTCTACCCCAGTTCAGATGAGTCTGCACCGCAATGGGTGCTGAATTGTACATCTGCCACTTATTTTTAAGAGACAACACCCTTACTGGTGATATTATTTGGTTCGAGAGTAATTTTTTGTTTAAATGTAAGATAAGCAAGCCACGTTCAATGGATGCTACAACTGACTTGAATTTTTTTTAACTGAAACATCTGACTCTACCTGATGTAGCAGTACAAATGAGGAAGAAATTGACAAAGGAAACAGATGAGACTATATTTCTCTAATAGGGAACAGTTTTCAATCCTAGAATATATTCTACTTCACTGTTAATTATATAATAAAATACATGCTTTTGTAATTCCTAACCTTGATTTTTATTCTTCCAGAATAAACACAGAGTAAAAAGAAGAAAATTTTTGTTTTGTTAATATTCACCCAAGGATATTTTTCCCATTGCTTTTTAGGGAGAGTGGAAGGGCAAAAGGGAGGGGATAGAGAGAGAGAAAGAGATAGAGAGATAGCGATGTGAGAGAGATCAGACGGGGGATCAAACCTGCAATCCAGATATGTGCCCTTGACTGGGAATCGAACCTGAGACTGCTTGGTGCTTGGGCCGATGCTCTAACCCCAGAGCAACACCAGCCAGGATGGAAAGCAATTTGTTTAAAAATTAGAGATATCAGTGAAAAGAAAAGAAAAAATTCAAAGAGAAAATCAACAAAGCCAAAAGTTGGTGGTTTAAGAAGACAGACAAATTTCCGGAAAAAACAACAACAACAAAAAAGCACAAATAGGTAATATAATTAGTAAAAAGAGAGCAAAACTAAACTATAAGTAGAGCAGATATTTAAAAGAATTCTATCAAGACAATAAACTTGAAAATTTCTAAAGAAAGTGGTAACTGGGACTGACTTGAGAAGAAACAGAAAGCCTAAATACTCCCATAATTAATATAAAAATAAAAGCAGTAGTTTCAATTTTTTCCACCAAAGAAACATCACGCTCAGACAGTTTTACAAGTGAGTCCCACCAGTTGTCAAGACACAATATCATTCTACCTACAATCTATTCTAGAGAAGAGAACACTCCTCATTCATTTTAAACCTGGCACTCAGACAAGAGCAGGAAAGAAAATCATGGGCCCATTTCATCCATGAATATAAATAGTAATTATCAACTACAATCTAACAGTGAATAGATCTATATCATAAAAGGCCTGTGGTCGTGACACCATTATGGCCCTCTGAAATGTGTCTCTGTAAAGGGGTACGATTGTGGTCGTGATGCCAAAGGAGCAGCAGCTCTCGCGGCAGGCGGGGCTCGAACTACTAGCGGCAGAGAGCTACTGAGCGGCAGAGGGCAGGGCGAGAGCTACAAGCTGTGATGGTGGGGTGGCCAGCTGAGGCAAGCAGAAGCGAGCTACTCACACACGATTTCGATTTCGAGAGCGCTGGGCCTCTAGTAGAAAGATAATATGACATCACAATGCTGGTTTTATTCCAAAAATGTAAGAATAATTTAATATTAGAAAAGCTATAAATGTCATTTAGTAAATTAACAGAATCATGTCACTCATCACAGAAAAAGAATTTAGTAAAATCACCACTCAATTCATGATAAAGCCCCATACTGGGGGAAAACTGTACTTTCCCCATTTGTTTGCAACAACAAATACCAGCCAAGGGTAAATTCCAGAAGTGTTCCCATGAAAACTCAGGAAGGGAACAGGTGGCCAGAGCAATCAGGCAATAAAAGGAAAGTGCAAGGGTGGGAAGGGGGAAATTAAGGCTGTGACTCAGGGTGACAAGAACAGCCGGTGTGGCTCATAAGAAAGAGCACAGCCTGGGGCCAGAACACCTGGGTGTGAACCCAACTCTGCCGCTCACTGGTCCCCAGTGCCATCTCAGGTAAGTCCCTTAACCTCCTGAGACCCCACCTGTACCTCTCTACCATCCAGTCAGTATCCAGCCGCTACTGAAGCACAGAAACGTAAGAAAATCAACAGACACATTTTGAAAACAACCAGTGTATCAATGAGGCTGGTTGTGTCTACAGCATTCCTACCTCCTGGCAATAAAGAATTAGAACACCAATTTAAAACATGCAGTGTTACAACAGCAGAATAAACTCAGGAGTACCCGGATACAGTGTAGCTAAAGACGGGCACAACCTCAGCAGAGAGAATCAAACCCGTTTACAGACACACTGCAGAGGGCCAGGCACAAACACTTCCGCTAAATCCCAAGCCAGCTTCCAAGGCACGCAGTGAGCTGGTCACAGCGCCCGCACGGCAGTGAGAGGACCGGCCCGTGTGCCAGCCCAGCCACCTCCGTGGGGCCGGAGGAAGCTGCAGGAGGTAAAGCAGGGGGATTGGGCTGGGCCAGGGAGACAGCTTAAGCCCACAGTCTGGGACAAGCCCATGGACTAACAACAGTTTTCACATCCTTAAACAGTTCAAGACAATATGTAAAGAAGATACTTAGTGACACACAAGAAAGTTCTATAAAATTCAACTCCCACACATGAGGTTTTATTGGAACCTAGGCAGGCTCACTCACCAGGGCACCACCGAGCGGGGGACAAAGAACAAGGCGCTCTCAGCTGAAAATCCCAACTACCCTTTCCAGGAAAAGTGGGCTGACCCCTGGCGTAGTGAATCCAAAAAGAGCCCCCG